CATCGGTAGATGATCTGATAAGTTAGAAGTCAACTCGAATTGCTAGCCATCGCCATATGGTCAACAATTCGAGGCAAATAATCAGCCATGCCCGGTGAGTCGGTCGATTGTTGACTGATCATATTATTAACTTCATAACTTCCAGAAAACATGTCAAAATAAGTCTTTCTTTATATCATTAGAAAGCTTTTTCTAATAGCTACGCATAGACACTATAATCGCACAGATCGAATAAATGAACAAAAATATTATGAGCATATTGAGACAACACATCGACCGAATCCCTACATATCGATAAAAATCGATATATATCTCTCGGTGGATAATCCGATGATCTCAAAATCGATCCAAATTCATCGGTTTTCTCTTCACAAATCCTAGCAGATACGTTCCAAAGCGTTGGAATTCATCCCGCCGGTGTGGATACGTGTAGAGGAGTTGTGCTTTCAACTCTCGGTGATTAAAACAGGCCCTGGATCGATTGATACTTCCAGATCTTGAAAGAACGAGGTAAGTATTCGAATCCCACGACGATATACACGATTGTTCGGGTTATTGCACAATTGGTTTTGTGTGACGTTTGGCTAGGTTTAGATCTTTCCTTCCACTGCGTGAAACCTAGAATCCAAACCCTAGATCGATGAGATCGCATGCTAGGAACCCGAAGGGAACCCCAACAGAACTTATGGACCAATTGAACGAAATGAACTTAATGAAGAAAATCGGAGAATAAAAACGATCAGTTCAATATTTAAAGTAGTAAGAGAAATTAAAAGAGATATTATTGAAAGTCCTGATGAGTAAAATGGAAAAAGTATATAAAAAAATATTGAATTATTAAATAAACCGGTATTAAGAATCGAAGAATTAGACTGTTTAAATAAACTACGACATACGTAAGAAAAAGAACAAATTAATAATATAATTACAGAATTAAATAAATTAATTACAATAAAAGAAATAAAAGTATCATGGCTTTCTTTTTTGGAAGAAACATTAAAAATAATAATGGAATATTAAATTTTTTCGAAAATGAATTAAAATCTTAGAAATAAAATAATAATAAAATGGGAAATTCCCAGAAAAATCATCGAATTTGTAGATAACCATCAGATTCATCATCAACTTTTATAACTCCCATATTCATACTCAATTTGAACCTTTTTTCTTAAAAAACATTCAGAATTTAAATTTTATCAAAATCCTCACCGGTCCCAATCTACATGTAACACGTCGGCACAAAACGCTTACATGGCATTTGCTCAATAGACACATCGGATCCACGTCAGATAAGTACAATACATCGGTTTTGCACGAACCAAACGAATTAAACCCGGTTCGAAAGAAAATAAACCGGTTCGAATTGAACATATCTCAGGTTTTAGGGTTATCTTTTCTTTCTTTAAATAAGACAAAAGGTAAATCGAAGTTTGAAGCGGCGGTCGAAAAAGAGAGAGAGAGAGGACGTAGAAGGCGAAATCGAAGTTTGAAGCGGCGGTCGAAGTTTGAAGTTGATAATCCAAGGTAATGTGTTACAATTCAAAGGAGTAATCAAGTAACGATGACTATTGCAAAGTATTTCAGAATCTAGGGTTTTTTGAAATAGGAAAAATCCCCAAAATCTAGGGTTTTCACAATCTTGGATTTTCGGAATACCCAAAAATCCCATACAATATCGATATCAATAGTTTTGCAGAGTTTGGATTGAAGATTTTTGTGGTTTTCATTTCGAAATTTTAGAGTTTTGTAGTGGTTTTATGTACATATATCGGATGTTATGGATGTGTTGTTATGGTTGAGTTTTTTTTTGGAATGATGGATGCGTTGGTGACAGATGAGTAATATATCTGAGGGGAGTTCGAGGTATACAGTGAAGGGGTGCCCCCGTAAGTGTGAATGTGGAAGCCGAGTTATAATGTGGACGTCACGATCTCCAAACAATTCGGGTCGGGTATTCTTCCGTTGTGCTAAACAAGAGGTTAGTGTTATTATTTTTTTTATTATTCGATAAAATTAGCAAGCAACAGACTATGAATATATTATGTTGGTATTTGTATTATAGGGTAACTATTGTCATGTGTTTAAATGGGTTGATGAGGCTATGGTGGAGGAGACAGAGGACTTACATAAAGAGTTAGAAGAAGTCATGACAGAACTTAGAAATCAGAAAGAAGAGTTGGATACCTACAAAATGGAGCTGAAAAAAAACACAACCGAGCTGAAAAGTAATACGGTGGAGATGGAAAGAAACACGTTGGAGCTGAGAAACAACACAGAAGAGTTAAAAAAACACAATAGAGCTGGAAAAACACATAATGGAGCTCGAAAATGTCAAAACTAGAATGGAAGGTCCTAAAGATATAATCAATAAATTGGCTGTAATTGTTGTGGTATCACTATGTATTGTTAGCTATTATAATGTGTTACCAAAGCTTTAGGAGATCATTGATTACATATGTTGTTTCTGTATGTTCAGAATGTTGTTTATGTAATGATGTTGTGTATGTGGAAACTAATTGTAGGGTTTATGTTTTGATATATATATATATATATATATATTAGGAATGTTTATTGGTTTATTGAATTTGTTTGGAGTTTGATTTGGATTATGATAATATTAGACTAACAGGTTCACAAAAAAGAATTACAAAGATTGAATTCGCAGATGTCAAGTAATAGGTTCTCCAAAAAAAAATCCAAAGCATTGAATATTGCATATTACGTCGCATAATCCAAAAAAAGTTACAAAGACTAGGTTCACAACATAATATGTTCAGGAAAAAAAACTACAGAGTCACCTAATACAAAAGCTAGTCGTTATTTTGTGGTTGATTTTCCTGCCTTGGAACTTGGAGACATAGTGTGCGTGTGATGCACTGTGAAGTTTGACTTGCTTGTGTAGGAATGTTGGTACCTTGAACAGAATTTTGAGAAGTCTGAGCATTTGGTTCGATGTTTTGTTGCCTTGAATTCTGAAAATAGAAATAAATAATGAAAATTTTGGATGTTAGTTATGCAAAGATATAAAGATACTCATATGAAATGTAAGTTGCAATTACCTTTTTTTCTCTTCTTGGTCGGCCCCTTTTATTTATTGGACCATGTGGTTGGCACGGTTCATTCTTGCAGCTAGACATGTTATGACCAGTTTGGCGACACCTGCTGCATGTAATCAGTCTCCCATGTCGGGTCATACGTCCAGTCTTGGTTGGTGATTCATGAGGATCCTTACGACGATGAAATTTTCTTGGACGTCCAGGCATTCTTTTATCAACCGGTACACCAATAGGAGGTTTTCCTATTTTTTCCCACATTGGTTCTCCATTGACCGGAAAAATATTACCTGCATATGTTGTCTCCCATATGGACTTGGTATAGTAGTCAGCAACATATCTGGAAAATTCAGAAATAAACAATAATACTTTAGTTTCATACATTGAGATATGCCTAAAAATTTAAAGTACGTAACGTACCTAGAGAGTTCATATTTTTTCTCGTTGATCACACTGATGGCATGTTGGCACGGTACACCAGTTAAATCCCACTTACGACATGCACAACATTTCCGGTATAGGTCGACCGTGAAACTAACACCGAATTCCATAACCTCATACTTTCCGCGAGGACTAGGTATAACAAAGCAGTACCTTCACTTTTCCCGTGCATCTTCTAACTCCGACATTATTCTAGGAGTAAACTCTGTTATACACTTACTTGTCTCGCTTGACCTTTTTGCAATTCGCATCATGGCTTGTCTCCGAATCTCTTCGAGCATGTCAATCACAGGTCGCATCCTTGCCTCTTTTATGGTTCGATTAAAACTCTCAGATAAATTGTTGTGGACATCCTTACAATGTGACTCAGAATTGAAGAAAGCTCTGCACCATTGTTTTGGTTCAGTTCGAAGCAAAGCTTCATAAGCTTCATGATCTATCTCCGCCAATGCATTCATGTGCTGTGTGTATGTCTCTCGGTGGAAACTAGTTGCAATCCTCCAAAAAAGGCATTTCAGCTCTAGACTTTTGTAAGATTTCTTCCAGTTTGCATAAATGTGTGTAGCGCACATTCGATGCTCAGCTAAAGGTAATTCATGCTCCATTGCAATTACCAAACCCTGTACAAATATAGACAATAGATATTAAATTCATGTGCATTCAGGTTTAGTAAACAAATTAAAAAGGATTTTATTGTTGTACCTTCTGCTTATCTGAGAGTATGGTAACATTTTGCCCATCTCCCAAACAAAGATCAGCTTTCAACTTCATGATAAACCAACGCCAAGTCTGTTTACTTTCAATTTTGACAACAGCCCAAGCAATGGGGAATATCCGATTATCGGCATCCCGACCCACAGCAGCAAGTAGTTCTCCCTTTAACTCCCACTTCAAAAAACATCCATCAAGTCCAATAACTGGACGACAACATTTCTTCCACGATTCATGCAATACTTCAAAACATACGTAATACTTGTCAAATAGCTCATCATCTGTCACTATTTCAGTAGTAGTGTTAGGATTAGACCTACGGAGCTCATGGTCGTAATCCCACAACTTAGCAAACTGTTTTTCCAGATTTTCATTGACCATATCCAATGCAATACGTCTTGCCTTATAACACTTACTAATTGACACATCCAATTTATACTCTCTCATCATGTCATGCTGAATTTCTGAAGCCCGATATGACGGTTTGCGTCTAAGAACATCACAAAACAACTTAGCAATATGTCTCATTGATACCATCCCAGAGAAATTCGTAGCATTATGGTTGTGATGGGGATGTAATACTTTTACCATCCACTTGTTTAGTGGTTTTTCAAAAGAAGCATAAATTCTCCACTGACAAGATTCTACGCGACACACCGCTCCTGACCTCTCTTCACCCCAACATGTCGTTCTAATATTGTGTTGAGTATCCAAAACATACTTCAATAAAGCATCTTTAAACTCAACCCCGGAATTAAAAATCTGGCCTAAACAGAAATGTTCTTTCAACTCAGGCACATTCCCCATAACATTAGCTCTACTTGTTGGCTTTTTTCCTAATCCTCTCTCAAATTCCTTCCACTCATCCTCTGACCCTAATGGTGTATCTGGATAAATATCATCATCATCTACAAATTCCTTATCACTTTCATACTCGTCTTGTTGTGCTCTAAAAGGAAACTGAGCACTTCTTGTGGCACCATGTGCTTCCTTTTCTAAATCTCTAAACCGAGGATCATGCTCACCTTCATTCATTTCACCCTCTCCCTCATTCCCTTCACCATCACCATCACCCTTACCCTTATCCTCATTCTCTTGACCTTGACCCTGACCAACAGTCTCCTCACAATCTTGATTGACCTCACCATCACCATTACCCTCATCCTCATTTTCCACTGTCGGACCACACTCATTCCTTTGATGTTGAGATGCGGGCGTTGCTGGAGAAATCTCATGATCAATATAGATATCTAACTCCCCTACAAATTTTGCCACTTCACACATTTCACGGATTCCTCAATCATCCTCCCTAATTGCCTTCTTCTCAGCTAATGTTTGATGTGGTTGTTTATACCACATCTCATATATTGGTGATACTATCTTGTTGTTATGAACAATATCTTCAAAAGCAAACCATGAAAGATAATCAGGATTGACCTCCATATATACCTTCTTTAACAAAACCCCCAACATACACCCATTCTCCATCGATCATTCCCATTGTTCCACCCATATAAATGTTTAGTTTAACAGTCCTGCAAAAAATCCGAAAAAATCAGCCGAAACCCTACCTCAAATATCGATGATTTAACTACGAAAAATCAATTCATTCAGACCATAACACACACAAAACTAACCCCATTTTCTAGCAGATCTCTTCGAAATCTCCTTTGTCTCTACAAAACAAACACAAATTTTCACACCAAATACACAAAATGAAAAACAGAAATATATGAAGGTTCGTGGTTTGAGATTTCGAGATTTAGGGGTTTGGAATCTCGAAATCTTACTGCTTTGTCTCTGCAAACACAAACATACAGTTTTTTTTTGTTTGAAATTTTTGGATTTAGGTTGTCGATTTTAAGTTTTTGACAGAAGATTAGAGATTAAGGGTTTCGAAATAATAGATGGTTAATACCTCAGATATCTTCAACCTCTTTCGAAACTTCCAAAAACATCTGGTTTCATGCACCCATTCGTGATTCTCGACGCCGGAGATTGACTTCGACGGTGGAGAATATAGAGAACGATAACTCAGTGAAAAGAAGAAAAGTGAAATGTGAATAAACCCTAGTCAATCTCGATTTTTACTCTTATTTCTTTGACCGATTTTTTTTTCGAACCGGTTTATTTTCTTTCGAACCGGGTTTAATTCGTTTGGTTCGTGCAAAATCGATGTATTGTACTTATCTGACGTGGATCCGACGTGTCTACTGAGCAAATGCCATGTAAGCGTTTTGTGCCGACGTGTTACACGTAGATTGAGACCGGTGAGGATTTTGATAAAAATTTAAATTCTGAATGTTTTTAAAAAAAAAGGGTTCAAATTGAGTATGAATATGGGAGTTATAAAAGTTGATGATTAATAATGATTTTTCTGGCAATTTCCAAAATTATCGGTACGGAATTTGGAAATGCGTTCTATCACCATTCACTTCGACACACCGATGTAAATACAAATCGAGAAAGAACACAAGAGATTTTAACGAGTTCACATCCCGTTGATCTTATGTCTCGGCCGATGCACTAGATCGGAACAACTACAACGACTCTCTCGGGAAAAAACCTCGAGAAACCCAAGAGCGAATCCAGAGATCGAAAATTGACCTTCTCGTGTGAAAAACCCGTTTTCTATTGTGGTTCGACCAAACGACACCTCGGCTCGATGACCGGACATATTTTCCGGTTAGCGTCAAATGGGTAAACCCAATCCCTCTTGCCGCGAACTATAGACTTCCGATCCCTCTAGCCGATCCAGAGGTTTCCATTCTCGCCAAAGTTCAATAGGTACCCGTATATTATAATTATTGGACCTAGTAATTATGATTTTCCAACATTATCTGATAAAACTCAGTTTTCTCCTTTGACATGATTTAACATTCCATCTCACACTACAATACCCCAAAAATAACTGCATTTAATATTTCTGCTCCCAAAAAAACCAAATACGGCCTAAGACAAATTTTGGTTAATTTTTTTTTTGTCAAAATGTATTTTCAAAAACCAAACAACACGCCTAATTGGATACCAAAAAACGGGAAAAAAAAACTCTTTGAAAACTGAAAAAAAAAAACATGCGTTGCAAGTTCAGCATTGACATAGACAAACCAGTCAACCACCAAAGCTTCAAAACCCTAACTGCGTACGAACCCTGAAGGTCATTACAACAGAGCGGT